ATATGCAGAGTGATGTTTCAGAATATAATTTTAGGAGTACGACCATCACATAATGATAGTTTTAATTATTATTGATTAATCCATCAATTCAACTGTCATAGTTTCCTCTCTACTCTTTTTTTAAGAAGTTGAAACAGGAGAATCTCTTTGGTTTAAAAAATGGATCAAACGAGTTACTCACATGTTTCAACAATAGTTATATATCCAATACATAATAGCTGACAACAAATGAAAGTAATTTGTTTTCTGCACCTGCATTGTAAACTACACTGGGGATGTTCATCATAATGAAGGAATATTTCACCAAAATGCCCAACGTGGCTCCGTGTTTATTTTCAATGATAATAATTGTAGCTTTTGGATAAAGGAGTTCTGTAGCACAGAGGCATAAGCTTTATCAGGCTGTGTTTTCTCTTCTCTCAACAGGTTGTAAGATGATGCAAAGATCAGGTGGGTCATTCTTCAGCAGAGTAAAGACGATTGTCTTTGTAGAACCACAGAAGTCTCTGCAGACCAATGCTGCTGCTCATTACCAGCCTCTACAGCCATGGAGTATGTCTTTATCCAGTTGTAGTGAATATTGTGAATCAAGAAGTAGACACATGCACACAGCCGCCATGTCTATGAATGTGAAGACATACGATATATCGCACATCGAAATAAGAAAACAAACAGATACGGTTATTGTGATGAATTTTCTGAATCAGAATAATCGTTAATATCTTCACATGGCTTGATTTGAAAAAGCTGTGTAGCTTGCCAACATAGTCATATATGACTTCCTGATTTATTTTGAATTACCACAAGGGGGAACCTGCATCTTTCCAGTCATTTCAAAATCCTAAAACACTAATGGTGATCCAATAAAAGTTCTTGTTTCTTAACTTAATGTATTCAACAATGTTTTAGTGTACATTTTGTTGTACATTTTGTTGATTGGGATAATAAAGTAACTTGCAATTATTTTGACATGAAATCATATCTTCCCATGCCTACCCACATCCATTATTTACAGCATGTCGGGGCAGATATTACATTGTCTGTAGTCTTAAATGCTGAACAAATATCCTTTACTTCAGTGCCTCCAGCCATAATGCACTGATGGTGTAAAGTGAAAAGTAATTATTTGATCGTGGATTTATTATGTTATTATTATATTCTTAAAGATAACATGAAATCATGTTTCTTTCTGTCTTTCTGTTTCTCGTTCAGTGATTAAGTCTGTTGAGTGTTCATCAAGCTTTGATGGTAAGTAACAATGTGGTTACTGAAGATACACCTGTTGACAACTATTGGAGGGATTGCACATTAATGTCTCCCTCAGGATGAATTCTAATAACGTGGGTGGTTTTTCAACTTTCCACTCAGTGTCTTTATCAGATCATTTATTCTCTGCATAGTCAAGACTGGAAAAAAAATTTTGATTTATTTATTGAATCTGTTAGAAACAGAATTCACTGGAATCGTACGTATGTATCATCAATATAGTGATAACTTCCATTTAGCAATTTATGAATCTGAACAAACATTGATCTAAACTGCAACTGGACTGGTTGGTGGAGGCATACAACCACAGGCTGGTAATTTTAGTTTGTTTACTAATTTGTATGTAGTGTCTTGATTTCATACTTTTTCCTTTACATCTCAAAGGGGATTGCTATAGAGCACTGCTGCGTGATCCAGAGCCCTGTGGTGCTTCACGCAGTATGCATGGTAAGTGAAGAGCTGAATGAGACTGGAACACACATCTGTGTATTTATATAAATAAAGACTAAATGGATGTAAACAAACCAACAATATATTTGCAACTTTAATGTGAAATATATGTTGTTTTGGATCTGGTCTTCTTCAATAGAATAGAATTGAAAATACTTTATTTATACCGAAGGAAAATTATAACAACGTTATAATAGAGAACATATGCAGCTGCATTGAGTGGCAAATGAGAAAGGTTGAGCTATTACGTGTTTATCTCTCTGTGTACATGGAGGTAAATATATATGCCTTACAGTATTTCTTTAAAGGACTTGTGAGTCATTGTTATCTCAGAACTCAGAACTCAGAAACCAGTAGTTTAGTTGTTACTAATTCTCATATAATGTCTTGACCTCAAAGTCCTTTTTTTAAATCTCAAAGGGCGGATGATGTTCAGGTCTATGGACCTGGGTGGGACAATCTTTGGTGCTCCTTCTTCACTCAAAGGTAAGTAAAAAGCTAAGCGGTAGTGGAACACATCTGTGTATTTATATAGATACAAAATAAAACAGCACATGTGTAGCCTTAATGTGAAATACTGTATGTACAGTAGAACTTGTTTTGGCTTCCGTAGCAAATGAGGAAGGCTGAACTGTTATGTGTTTATCTGTGTGTGTGTGTGTGGGTGTGTGTGGTGTGTGTGTGTGTGTGTCTAACATTCAACCAGATCATTAGAATGTGTCTCTTAAATAAAAGACATTATGATTGAGTTAAAAATCATGTTAAAAAAGTGTGTTTGTGAATAAACTAACTGCTAACACTGTTCCTGTCTGAGCAGCTCTCTCCACCAACAGAGCAGCAGCAGAGCATTTTAAGCCAGCTTGGGAGAGCAAACTTAACAGTGATAGCCATGGCCACAGGGAATTATGTCATCAGGTTGTCCTTCATCTTAAAATGGCAGGAGAAAGCAAAAGCACCACATTTTGTATCTCTATATTCAGTCTAAACATACATAAATCTAAACTGCAACTTGACTGGTTGGTGGAGGGCCCCACAACCACACCATCGGTAATTTTAGTTTGTTTACTCATTTGTATGTGATGGGTACTGACTTCATAACTCTTTCCTTTAAATCTCAAAGGGGATTGCTTAGTGCACTGTGGCGTGATCCAGAGCTGTGGTGCTTCACGCAGTATGCATGGTAAGTGAAGAGCAGAATGGGAGTGGAACACACATCTGTGCATTTATATAAATAAAACACTTAATGGATGTAAACCAAACCAAAACAAATATATTTTTGCCCAGTAACATATTCGTGAAATATACTGTTATGTGTTTATCTGTGTGTGTGTGTGTCTAACATTCAACAGATCATTAGAATGTTCTCTTTAAATAAAAGCACATTATGATTTGAGTTAAAAATCCTTTTAAAAAGTGGTTATGTGAATGAAGCACAGGTGATAGTTCGCAAGAGCACTGAAGTCGCTGTATTGGTTGCTTGAATCAAGCCTTTGGAAATATGCTCCACAATGATTGTCTCCACAGATATGTGGCTAGTAATGTCCACTCATATTCATGTGGCTGTTACTGTATGGACATATAAACTTATCACTGTTACTCCATGATTCCACTCTTGGTACACTGTTGTGCGAAGCCTCTCTCCAACCAGCAGAGCAGAGCGAGCAGCTTGTAAGGGCAA